TGTAGTGGGTAAAGAGCCAGCATCTCTTTGTCTCTCCCACCTTCTGCACAGCTGGAGAGCCCTGGAAAAACTGAGTTTAGCTCAGTTGGTTACAGCATGATGCCAATAAACAAGGAACACAACAGATCTGGAGTAAGGGGGAGAAACCAAGCCACCACAGCATTAGTTTTGCACTCAATATGTAAGCAACTTTTTCAGTCAGAAATTAACATGAATTAAATTCAACAAGAAATTAGGGAAAACCAAAGAAAAAGTACACCACACAAGGTACCTGGATGAGTCTGTTGCTGTTGAGCAGAGCCCAGAGATCGTGGGATGATATCCTATCCAAACTCTTCCCACCTGGGGAGCTCATTTAAACCCTTGAGATGTGCTGGGACCATCTCCAAGGCAGGCAAGATTTGTAGATGGAGCTCAAACTAAAGCCTGTGAGCCAGCATGTTGGAACTGCTTGCATAATAATATGCTTGCCTGTGATCACTTTTATTTTCCTGTCTACTATAGATTGCAGCATATGCTCACAATATGGGGCTTTATACAGAGGTGTGTCCTCTGTATATCCTCTGAAAGAAATCAGTTAAGCTAGCAATAGCATGTTTGGTTTTTTTATTTGTATAACTGCACAAGAGAAATTGGGGTACAGCACTATTACTAATAAATCAACATAAATAGATCAATATGTCAGTACTTCAGTGCTTGAATCCAACCAGCTATGGGGAATTTGTCCCCTGGTAGCAATCAATCTGCTGTACTTAAAGTTTCCTCACCAGATCTGCAGCTAGCACAAACTGATCAATGCTGTTCCAAGTCAGTGGAGCATAACAGCTTTGCATGTCCCAGTGTTCACCCTTGCAGGTCTCCTGCTCCTTTGCAAGGACACAGAGGTTAAATTACCCTTTGCTAAGCACATGGGATATCTCACACTAACTCACAGTTCTTTACTCAAAACCAGCCTTTCTTACCACCAATCCAGTGTAGCCCAGCCAACACCTCAGCACCTTTCCAGGTGGAATCCAGTTTGGTCCTCCACGAGCAGCAATTCCACTGCAGTGGCCTGTGGCACCCACTAGAAGTAGATGCAGCAAAATGAATTCTGTGAGCCATCCCAATTCTGCTGTGCACCCTGCATAGGGCCCTCCCCCAGGGGGTTTTCCAGGCTGTGCTGGGGGAGATGCACAGTCTGGTCAGATGTTGGGCTGCTCTTTTAGAGGGGTGAGTAGCATTGCTAGAGAAGGTATGAGGACAGCTCAACAATCTGCCTTTGGCTAATAGGGTGACACTCCTGCCACTGAGGGGAGGGTACAGAGCATATCCCAGTGCAATCTTCTCTGCTAGGAGCTCTATCTGAAATCACCTACCCCCAATCTTTTCTGTGAGGAATGCTTCCTTTCCCATCAGGTGGCTGCTGATGGAGCCTCCTACCTGAAGTGATTTAGGATGCAGGTCACAGGAGTCCAATGTCACTAGGGAATGCATTATTCCCACCTGAGTCCCAGAATAATCTCTGTGATCCAAGGCAACAAGAGCCCAGATCCTACTGGCTGCTGGAATGGGGGAGAGAACCCAGTGTGGTGGTCCAAGACCTGTGGGTGGTGATGCATCTACTTCCAGGGCAAGCATTTACAGCAGGATCCCAGGATTATCCCAAACAAGGCTTGTGCCCAAAACCTGGCATTAGGCAGAGGTCAGGTAGAGCTCCAGCATGTAGCTCTCAGGGGATGTTCCTTGTGGGTACAAGTTCTTGGAGGTGAAGTTCCCCATGACCCAAGCATGGGTGGTAGTGAAGGCCTGGGGACAATCTGTGCTATGCTTGCATGGCTGGCTGGACAACACCACCACCTTCAGTGGGCTCATTTCACTGCTCCCCAGAAGTGGGTCTGGCTCATGAGTGGCAAGGGATTTTCCTGGACATGACCCATTGTCCCACCAACCACTGGAGTGTGTGCCAACAGTCCACATAACTTCTCGTGGCACAGAGTCCTCTTCCTCATAAGTCATGCCACAGACTGAAGAACCACAAGCCTAGCAGCAGCCACTGCCTAACAATCACACTGCCTAACAATTACACTGCCGTCTGGTGGCTTCTTTAGGAGGAATTCCAGGCATTCACAGGAGGGCCCTGCCCTCTATTAGCAGCAGCCGCTATTTGATTATTGTTCATGATTATTGAGTGCATTTTACAAATCTGTTCAGCCAAGCTGTCTCTTGCTTTTCACCTTTTGTAATCAGCCACCCACCTCTGAGAGTTGTAGGAGAGAAGCTGTAGAAGTTGCTGTGGCCTCTCTCCTCCTGCAAAGCTCCCCAGCCCTTGTAGTCTGCTTTCCTTGCTTCTTCAGTATAGAGGCCTAAGAAAAAGCAAGGCATGGACACTTTGCAAACCTGTAAAAATTCATGTTCTGATTTCCTTTCTAATGGCTCACATGGAAAGGAAGCTGTGAGCTACACAGCGCTCTTGTTTCTTCTCAGTGATGGGTCCCCAAGGTTATGTTTCAACTGCTGTGGTGCAGAGCCCATTTTGCCAGGATGAGTTAGAGCTAGGCAGGAGAAATAGGGCTCTAAGCTTCTACACTGGTTTCTTTCAAGCTTTTTAGGCTGTTCTGAAAATATATGGTGTAATTTAGGAGACTGATGTGCTGAACTGAGTATAGGGCTTCCAGTTACCAATATAAAAATTATTCCCTAAGAACATACATTCATTCTGCTTCCTTCAACTGCTCCAGCAGGGGGTCCCACTGCTCACAGTGTGATTTGACTTTGCTTCCTCTGACCACAGAGTCCTTGACTGAAGAGGTTGTTGTCTGCATTACGATTAGCAGACTGACTGCTGGATGGAGTGAGAGGCACCAGCAAGTAGCCATACTTGGGTATTGGCTTCCTTGAAACTTGGTCTAGGCAGACATCAGCTTTTTGGGCAGTTAATGAGGCAAACTGTATAGAAACCTCTCCATCTGAGAGGGGTCTGTTTTCGCAGAAGAGGAGTGGAGCAGTGGAGGCAGTGCTGTCCGCTGTGCATCTGTGGCAGCTTGACCCTGTAGCAGAGTCAGTTCACTGCCATGGGTCACAGTATGGGAGGGTGACTCTTGTCCCTGAAGCAACACGGTTCCAGCAAGCCTTAGGAGTTCAGAAAAGTCTCTGTCAGAGAGTGACAGAAGTTCAGTGTCAGTGTCAAGCACTGGGCCCGTTTGATGTCAATATGAAGCTCCTGGGTCACAGTTAAAACATCTCACACTGTGTCACCACAGTACAGGCAGTTTCCATCGTCAGTAATGTGTCTTCTGGAGGTAGTCACGGATGCAGCCATAGCTCCTTGATTTCGACTCCTCAGAGATTCCCATCACACCCAGGAGGTTGTTCGCAGCTCCAGACCCCACAGCATCGTTAGCTCCCGTTCCTCTCACCGGGCCCGATGCAGACAGAGGCGGGGGCCGGGGCGCCGCAGGAGGCGGGCAGCGGGGCGGTGCAGCCGGCCTGCCCTGCCCTGTCCTGCCCTGCCGCCGCCTCTGCTCAGCCGGCCCGGCCGCTCGGAGCGGTAGGAGGGGTCGGGGCGTCGCGGGAGGGCGGCAGGAGGAGAGGGGGCCGGGTCGGCCGTGGCGCTCGGGGGCTGCTCTCGGCGCCGGGCCGGGGTCAGTTCCCCGGGCAGCCGTTCCCCGGGGCCGGGAGCAGGACCGGGACAGGCGCTCCAGGGGCTCCGAGGCGAAGGCCCGGGTGTAGCGGCGCCTCCTGCCCGGCCACGGAGGCCTTACCCCGGGGCCGGGGGGATCCCAGGGCCGGAGCCCCGCTGGGCCCAGGCAGGACTGCCTGGGAGGGCCGTCAGGCTCTGCCAGGAGCCCAGGCCCCCAGGGCAGGGCAGGTCCATGGTCTGTGGAAAGTCAGCCCACGGTTGTTTGTCAGGATCTGGCCCGGCGAGGGCAGCTGGGATCAGGCACAGCCCCGTGATCAGCAGGCAGAGCCACGGTGCTGGGGCGGGGGCGTTGCTGATGGAGACCGGCACTCTGCAGCACTGCCTCGGCTGTCCCGGGCCGAGCTGAAACACACTCATGGGGAGCCCCAGGCTTGGCTGACAGGGACCATCCGGGCCCTGACAGCAGCCTTCCCCCTCTGTCCTCAGTCCTTAGAGAGCTATGGGCTCAGGAGGGACTTGCTGTAGAGTGATTTAATTGCTTTGCGGTCTCAGAGGGCTAATTAAGGGAGAAGATACACAAGACAAGTCACTAAGAAGGGGATATGACATGAGAGACTTGGAGATAGTTAGGTTGCCTGTGGCTTGGAGGTGAAAGGGAAATGTTTAAACCACCACTGGAAGGTCGCCAGAGGCTGGGTTCACTCAGGAGCTGGTGCTTGAGCAAGGGTCAGTGATTACCAGGTAAATGAGATGGTTTGAGGTCGAGCAAGTGCCTGGCAGGTTGTGGACCCATATCCCATGCAAAAGTCCCTTGCCCTGAGGGCTGCACAGGCGGGTGGCAGCAGTGACCTGTTGTGCAGCATCCAGCCAGCTGCTCTAGCAAATGTGCCAACCAGTGGTGCGAAAGAGAAGTACCAAAGTAAAAGAGGGCAAGGTGGTAACAGTCTCATCATGGAGGCAGCATCCTTATTCCCCAAGCTGGTTTTTTTGCCCAGGACAGGTGCCTGGCTGACTGCAGCTAGCTGGGGGAATTCTGCATGGTTCCCTCTTGCCGGATCTCCTGTGCCTTCTGGTCAGGTTGCAGCTGCTGCAGAGACACAGAGAAGGCTTTCTCCTCCTGCGTAGGGAAAGCTTATTTCTTCCTAGGAGCATAGCTAGTACGTGCTGGGAGGAGGATTCCCCAAACAGGCAGTCAGGAACAGCAGCTTGGGATGTTGAATAGGGAGCTATAAATCATCAAGCTGCTAATTAAGACCACAGGAGACTGGTGAGTTACTAAAGACCGGTATTACTCTTTTCAGAGCTCTAGACCATTAACAAGACCCCTGGGACCTACTCCAAGTACGTGACTCTCCAAGGACATCACCGTGTTTTGGGCATGTTCTCAGAGCTGAAGTTCCCTGTGCCTTGGGGACATGTGGCAGCCAAGGCCTGGGGACCCTCAGAGGGACACCCTGTGCTGTGTTTGCATGGCTGGTTGGACAATGCCAACACCTTTGACAAGCTCATTCCACTGCTCCCCAGAGGTAGGTCTGGCTCATCAGGATGGCTTGTGTTGTGTGGCTCGGCTGCACATGTGATCCTCTTTCCCTTTCAGGTTGTTATTATGTAGCAATGGATTTTTCTGGCCATGGCTTGTCCTCCCACCGACCTGCAGGCCTCCCCTACCATTTCCTGGATTATGTGACCGATGTGCGCCGGGTGGCAGCAGGTGGGTGCTTGAAGGAACCCTCGAGGGGGTACTTGTGGGGGGGATACTGTATTGGTCCTGCTCTTTCCAACAAGCAGGCAGCATTTTCAGTTCCCCCTGCTTCTCAGTTGGATGTTAGCCAGTGCTTTGTGACTGAATAAGCATCCCTCTTTCTCACTGTTTGGGAAAGGAAGAAACTGTAAAGCCCTGGGTGTTTCTGTACTAAAAAAGCTGTAGTGGTGAAATGGTGGAAGCAACTAAGTGGTTTTACCAGACTGGCTTTTTGTAAGCAGTCAGTGACAGGCGTAAGTTGGAAATTTCTGGTTCTCTCTGATGGCAGTTTGCTACTTGCTTTAGTATCATACAAAGAAAGTTGAAGTGTCTTGTACTCCTAATAACTCCTGATGTAACTGTCCATCTGTATATTTGGCATGTGTAGTTTTACATTCCCCATTCAGTACGCAAAAGAGCCTCTAGAAGCTCTCACTTATTCCAGAGGGTAAATCCCATCTTTCAGGGAGGTATATTTCAGATGGGCAGCACTGATAAAGCTGTATTTTCCTATAAGCCTCCCAGAGTGCCCTAAAAATGGACTGAAGAGCCTGATGTGCTAAATGGTGCAGAAAGCTTTCACTTGGAATCATACTTCCCTCAATGCAGCAGACCTGGGTCTGTGTCCTCACATGTCTTGCAGAATGCCCTGTGGCAGGATGCTCTGTAAAGGTTTCTCTCTTCCACCAGATGCTACCCAGTCAGGCTCCTCTGCTTCTTGCCAGTGTCTGTATCTGGCAGTGAATGGGACTTTGCTGGAGTTTGATATACAGAGAGAGCTTGAGAGCTGTATGACTTAACTACCATGGAAATGAGGTGGTAAATGCTCTTTTTCTTCAAAATCAGCCTACTCAGCTGCTTAGTTTCTGAATTAAGAAGCAAATGTGGTAGTGCAAAAGCCCTCCTGGGAGAAAGGGCCCATGTCAGTGGAGAAACAGCAAGATGTTGCTGCTCTGGTTTCTGATGTAGCACTGTCTGTTTTTCTCTGTTGCCATTTAGCCTTGCAGTGGAGACGGTTCACCTTGATGGGTCACAGTATGGGTAAGTGTCCTTGTAAACTGTGAGATTAATACAAAGCAGTAGATAATTAACTTCCAAGACTTGCTGCTAGGAGCTGGGTTGGAATATTTATTATATTATGCCAAGTACGAGGTTCCTGCCTGAGTGATTCAAAAATCTGTATGTGTGTTTGAAATGCCTGTTTTCAAGACCCTCCAGTACAGACAGTGGTAACTCTTGCTGTGAGCATTTCCCCCACTCACAGCACGGAACAGTGATTGCCAAAGAGGGGTGGTCTATGCAGGAGAATTCACAGCAGCAGGCCTTCCTGCCTGGTCCCCACAAAGCCTGGGAACAGACAGCCCATTTGGTGGGCTGTAAAGGTGCCTGAGGGGAACTGGACTCCAGGATCCATCCCTTTGAGCTTGGAATATGATTTGATTTTGCCACAATTTGGAGTTTGCTTCCCGGGGCCGCTCTGGTCACATCTAACAGGACCTGCACACCAAGACATTTTAAACAGTAACTCCTCCTTGGCCTTTGCTGAGGGAGGTGGGAATGGCACAAGATGGGGAACACAGCAGGTCAGCAGCCCTGGTCTCTGCCTGCATGTTGTGTACTGGGGTTTTTTCCCATGGTACAATGCATTTTTATTTCTGAGGTAGCTCCTGCTGTGGGCAAAGTGAACCTGTGTTTCCAGGGGCTGTTCTGTGCATTACTGAGCACCCTTTTCTTCTCTGCAGGTGGGGCTGTGGCAGGAATGGTGAGTAAAGCACCATTTCTTCATGGGGTTGTGATTTCTGCAGCTGCAACAACAAATGGGAGAGGAATGAAGGGACAGATCTGGATCTCAGGGGAGGAGAGGCCCTTCCCTGACCCCTCTCCCATGCAGCAGGATAAAGACATCACTCAGTACTCAGCTTTTCATTTTCTTATTGTTTCATCTCTCCTCAGTTCAGTTTCCTTTATCCTGAGATGGTGGACAAGCTGATCCTGCTGGAAAGTCTTGGCTTTCTTCTAGCTCCAGAGGTTAGAGCTCATATGTCCTTACCTTCACTTTTTTAAAATACAAAAATACATTTTTTTTTCTTTCCCTCACTTGTTCAGAGAAAGCACTGATGTGACCACTTCCTGGCAGGTCATACAGGTCCTAGGGCTCTTCCTTTTGGCAGGCAATGATCTGCTCCTTGTTGCACAGACTGAAGTTTGTCCTTAGGGTGGCCCTTGGGGCACACTTGGTAGAGCTCCACATCCTGCAGTCCCCTTAGCACTGAAATTTGCTTGTCTGTGCCAAGCCCTTGTACAAAGGAAGCTGGAACCTCTGTCCAGGCAACTGCCAGCTTTTTGCCAACACCTTGTTGGGTGACCTGGGTACAAGACTGGTAGATTTTTTTCTGTTGCTGGCAGTTCATAAAGCTACATTCCCAACTTGCCATCATTGCTAACAGATGCTGGAGCTTTCACTGGCAGTAGTAGGACAGAAGCCCTAGGTCAGAGAGACAAAAAATATAGAACTTTGGAGAGCTGTCCTCAACTCAGAAGTGAGATAGGAAGGGTTAGAAAAGATGGCAAGGATAAAAAGTTAATAAGTACATTACAATAATGATGTTCACTTTCTCCCAGAAATGGGCATTTTTAATAACATACCCATAACTGATACCAGTTCTGAGGGATGTCGAAGAGTGAAAATCCCTCTTCCACTCTCCAATAAGGGGTAAAATACTTCAGAAGGGGTTACTCCCCTTCCCTACCTCTCTGTATTTCAGGACACCGAGGCATGGCTGAAATCAAAACGGAGGGTGATCGACAGACTGCTGAGTCTGGAGGCAAAGCAGCAAACTCCCAAAGCACGGAGCCCTGAAGCAGCATTGCAGAGGTGGGTTCCCATCCATCCTCTTCATTTACTGCCTGCCCTCACCTTGACAGAGTTACAGCTGCACAAATGAGAAAGGAAAACCATCCCTGCATTTCACCTTTCAAGTCCTTTTCTGGAATCCCAGCAAGACCTTTTGCTTCTGCTGCCAGAAGCTGCTGCTTCTTCATGCTCCTTTCTGAAGCAGCCTGAGAGCTCACTGTCACCTTGTCATGGCATTTTTGCTTCACTTCCTCCCTTTTTCCAGCATCACAATCTCTCTGCCATGTCTCCCTCAGGCTTTTAGAAGCAAACAGCCATCTGACAGCAGAGGGTGGGGCAATCCTGCTGCAGCGAGGAGCAACTGAGACACCCGCTGGTAAGGGGCTGTGTGGTGCTGGGCCACTGCTGGGTGTGGGAAGGGACTGATGCCAGCAGCCATTGTCTTCTGCAGGGTACAGGGTGCCCTAGCTACAGATTTACACAGCCTGAATGGGATCAATTAAGTCTGGAGGAAGAGTTCTTCATTCCCAGCAACTGGGTTTGGTGCTCAAATCCTAGAACAGCTAAAGAAAATAAGTTAAAAAAGGGAGAAATCTGAATTAATCCTATTCTTCCCATCTCAGAAAGTCTTGGGCAGACCCCGAAAGTGAGTTAAAACAGAACAACTCCTGCTCCTAAGAAAAACTTCTGTTTTTTCTTTCCAGGGCTGGTGTATAACAGAGATATGAGAGCCCGTACGGTGAGCACTGCTCTTCTGACATGCCCCTTGCTACTTTGGAGCCCTGAGCTTAAAAACACTCAGACAGAGGATGCCTGCTCACTGAGCTAGGCCCTGCCTCCACCCAGCTGCTTACTTTCTGCTTCCCGAATTCCCACACGTCCTTTAAATGCTGCTTTTAAAAGAGCCTGCACTTGATCATTGATTCAGCTTACAGTCACTGGAAAATATTACTGTTTGTTTTTTTAGAAGTTCCTCTGCCCCAGGGCCTCCTGGCCACATTTTCCTGCTGTTATAACTCTTCAGGCAGCACATGGATGGATGTTTTCTGTCAGCTTGTCAGGTGACCTGATTAAGAAGGGGAGTGGAGTAAAGTCCTTAGGTTTTGTATTTTGATAGTTTTGTGCCACTTTTGAGCAATTAGGGCCTCCTCTATCTGTGCTACTGCCAGGATATGGAAGCAAGGGTAATGTACTCTCTCCTTTTTAGTAAAAGGATTTTTAAAGCTTTTCTCTATGAGATCATTCCCATATGTGCTGCTGCCCAGCAGGCAATGTTGTTGGCAGCCCTGAAACACAGCTGGACAGAAGGAGCCTTTGCAGAGCCATCTACTCCTGTGTGCAGCCTGGACGCTTGTCATGTGTCAGCATGGAAGCTTCAGGGCTAGTTACTTCTACCTTCAGAGCCACTTGTGCAGGAGGGCCTGGGGACACCCTCTGCTCCCAGCTGCTCTCCATGAGCTTTGACACTTTCTCTCTCTTTGCACCTGCAGCAGAGTCGAGAATTCTTCACGGTGGAACAGTGTGTGAAGCTCCTGCAGAAGATCCAGGACCGTGTTCTCATCATTGTGTGAGTGAGGCACAAACCACACCAGCCCTTGCTGTTTCCCTCAGTGGAAGGAATGAAGGATAGGAAGGAGTCCTCCACTACCCCTTAATGTACACTAGTCCCCCAGACTTTTGGCCAGCTGGTGCAACAGTACAGCTTCATGTGTGAGAAGTATTTCCCAGTTCCCACCACTGCCCTGGGTTGGGCAGGCTCCTGGAGAAGACACACAGCAACTGGAACATCCTCCCAGCCTGGCACTCTACTTTCAGGCTGGGACTCCCTGGTGCAAGGCTGACTGAGGAAATGTTAGTCCTGCCCCATCTTCCCCATGCTCCTGGCTTCACAATGCCACCTCACAACTCTCCATTCCTTGGCACTGTAGCAAGGGGCCATCCTTGCAAATATGTGACCCTCCACAGCACCACACCTACTTGCTGTCCTGACCTAACTCTACCCCAGCCAGCAACCCAGCCCGCCCCCTTCTCCAGGCCCCAAACCCCCTTGCCTGAGCAAACAGGTGAAACTGCAGAGTCTCCATCTCCTCCAGCCCCTGGTCTGACTGAGCTCCTGCAAGCTCTCTCCTGTGGCACCTGGGGCAAGCAGCTCTGGGGACATGGCCAGTGGCTTGCCAAGCTGTTAAGCTGTCTGCGTGCACAGCTTGTACTGTGAGTTGTCCTCTGCCTTTTCCCATCTCCTTTGAGGGAAAGGTGTGCAGGGCTCTGGCTACCTTGGCTGGTGGGGTGCTGTTAAAAATTGTCTAGAAAACAAGAAGTGCTAGCAGTTGAGAAAAGAGATGCAGTTTTGACTTCCCTGATTTGTTTTAGTATCATAACAGGTTCAGGTTATTCCTGCTTGTCCAGACATGTAATATAGGTCGAGTCCTCTGTGCCACAGAAATGCCATTGAGCCTGGGATGTCCCCTTGTCCCATCACCAGCACAGTAGGAGACAGCATGATCTTAGCTCTGCAGGAGATCTAATGCTGACTTCTCCAGGGCAACTGCCCTGGTACCTCCCTCTCTGAGCAGGGCCTAACTTGGTTAAATAAGCAGTAAAGAGGCAAAAGGGACTGAGGGGAGATGTGGAAATTCTAAGGAAGGAAGAAGTTAAGAGCAGAAGGCAGAGCAGGGGCAGGGAAGGATGTTTACAGACCAGTTACAGAGCCAGCCCTGGGAGGACAATATTTAGCCAGTCCCCACTCTGATACCACTAGGCAGTCACCCAAGGTTTTACACCCTTTAGTTGGATAGAAAATAGCTGCTTAGCCAAGCTGTGCAGTGCACTCTGACTATCACGTGTGACCTGTCACCTGCTGCTTACGAGCAGCCTGCAAAGAACAGTTGGGTTTGTTACCCTCCTGTACTGGGGACACTGATTCTGCCCAGGACACCCACAAAAACAAATGGAGGCACACTGGGTGCTGTACTGAGCCTCACTGTTGTTTTTCAGATCACAAGATGGACTCTTGGTACCGCACAACCTACCGAGCAGAAATCACTTTGTGAAAGCCCTGCAGGAGGCATTTGAGTCTAACCTCAAAGAGGTGAGAGCAAACATCATCCTTGCATCTCCATTTGCCACCAACCTGGGAGCAGCAGCTGGGAAGCAGCTGACCTTGGTGGACACCCTCCACTAGGTGACTTGTCCTGAACAGCACAGCCCTTGCATGGGGAAGGGGGTGGAGTCAAGGGAGGAAGCCAACTTTGTCCCTACTGCCAAAGTCCCAAGTTAGTAATGCCCTCTGGACCCAGCTCTTCTCTGGTCCTCCCATCTTTGTCCTGCCTCACTTGCTCTGTCCCTTCCCACGAGTGTCACACAGCAAGCAGAGTGTGCTTGAGGGATCACTTTCCTGGTCCACATCTTCTTGTGTTCTTTCCCTCCAGCACATCCAGCTAGCAGAAGTGCCTGGGAGTCATTTTGTGCACCTGAACGAGCCCGAGGTGGTATCTGGGATCATCAGCAACTTCCTGACAGCACAGAACACCAGGGCCAGACTCTAGGAAGCCCTCACAGCTGCAGCAGTTCAGGAGAACTGGGAGCTAACAAGCAAGCTCCAGAACTGTCACCATTCCTACCTCACATGCAGCATTAGATCGTGATAATCTTTCCTATGCTTAGCTCAGTGCAGGGTGGAAGCAGGTCTGCCAGGGGTACTCTGAAGGAGAGCTGAGCAAAGTATCTCATTTGCCAAAGGGAGAAGGAATTCTTGCTGTACTTCCTCCAGCTCTGTGAGTACAGGGATAGAGGCCCAGAGTGGCCTTCCCCTTGGCTTACTCCAAACTTGCACCCTGAAACAGAGCAGAACACAAGGCAGAGGCATCCTCTGTGACAGCAGCAGCTCCCCAGCTTTGGCAATGTAATAGAGGTGGCTCATCTTGCCTCCTCCCTGGGGATAGTGTGGACAGCTGCTCCCAGGATTTAACCTGCTGAAAAACAAAGTGTTCTGCTTCTCTGCTTACTTCCATAGATGCCTGAGCTCAGAGACCCTCAGTGGCTCTGTTCCATTGTGAGAACTAATGTTTAAGAATCACCTTAAGTAAGAGCTCACCTGTGCAGAGAAGGCCATTTTAATGAACGCTAGAGAATCCTTAATCCTCTAGCTGAAGCAGCTGGGAGAACTACAAATTATGGAAAAGTTGGCAGAGACAATTTCTGTCCTAAATAAAGATTAATGCTCCAATGTTAAGTCTGTCTTCTTGACTCTATAGGAGAACAAACCTTCTTTCTCTTTCAGGCTGCTCACCCAAGCAGCTAAAAGGCATCTTGGGAGGCAGCAATTTTTACACACTGTCTGCCTTAGGTAGGCCTTATTAAGGATCTGCCTCCCAGTTAAATTGATGCAAAAAGCCCACTGAAGCAGGCAGGCTTCTCTGCAAGAAACACACAACTGTATTTCCAGTCAGTTTTTTAGGAGAGGGTAAATCCATTTTATCTCAGCTCTCTGGAATTTACCACCATTTCCACCTTACATTCCATGGTCACATCTCTAGTGAGGCTGCAGACAGTAAAATAAATGTGTAAAAGCCTGGGGCTGGGTGGGTTACTTTGATCATAGACCTACCACTATTTCAGAGTTGCACAAATGCTACAGGAGCAGTACAAAGCCACTGTCCCACACCTAAACATGCCTGCTGCCATCCTTACCTGCTTTCTGAGGGCTGGGGACAGGTTAAGTGGAAACAGGGCGTGGAGAGTCTGGTTTCTCCTTCCAAACCAGGCTGCTCAAAGTGGCATTTGTTCTTGCAACAGTGCTGGGTATCAGGAATTTTCTGTGTCCTAGACATGGCTGCAGAGCTCGCAGTGCCCAGTCATCCAGCTGTGCATGAACACTTGGCCAGGGAGGGAAACACCAAGAGAAGGGGTAGGGCTCTGTACCAAACCACTGCTCTTTCCTTGTGACAACAAGCTGCAGTTAGGTTTTTCCTAAAGTCACTTTACTCCTCATTCCTTCAACAAAATGTGCAAAGGAGCACCAGGTTACAAGCCATGATTTTTACTGCCACCCCAGCACACAGGAACTGTTTCCTACAGGAGACTGGAGGGGAGAGAGAAGCATTCCCATGTTCTGAAAACAGCAGCAGCAGTTTATTTACAGTTCTTCAGCTGTTCCCTGCCCCTGCACAGGCTGTGCTAGGTCAATCCCAGTTCTCACCAAGCTTTAGGAGGTGTGGTTTTGGGTGGCAGGGAGATAGAGGTGGTCACAGGATGTGCCTCAGCCCCTTGACCTGAACACCCTGAGAAGTGGTGCCATGGGGCTCAATGACAGAAGAGCAGGAGGATACTGGTGCAAGTAAAGGGAACTCTCCTTCAGCAGCAGTTGCTGGGATCTCCCATTTCAGATCCAAGGGTAGAGGCAACCCAAAGCTGCCTCAGTTCCTCAAAATCCTTTGGCAAATGGAGTCAACAGGCATCTCTCCTACCCTCTCCAGCACAGTCACCTGAAGACCAGCTCAGCACAACCTAGTACGGCCGAAACTTGCGCTGGGCTCGCATCAGTGCAATCCTCTGCTTGTCCTCCTCAAATTTCTTCCTTAACTGGGCAATGTCTAAAACAGAAAGAACAGGTCACACGAGAGCAGCAGATCTCCCTCTCCTGGGAGCTTCACTTCCACACACCAGAGGGGCTCAGTCCCAACAGCCACAAACACACAATTCCAGAGCAGGTCCTTTTACACCTCAGCTGAGTGCCAAGCTGGGGCTCCAGCTGTTCATCTCTGGTGGTGCTGCAGCTCCCTCTTGGGGAGGAATTGGCTAGTTCCCCCCTTCAATCCTCTGTGCAAACTGAATAAGCACCTTTTGGAAAACCACACCCTCCCAAGAAAACATGCCAGCAGCCCTTGTGAGGACAGGTGGTGGCAAGAGGCCATTCAGACCCAGCCAGCCAGTTGCTCAGTGGCAGCTGGGTGTCACCTGCCCTGAAGGCAGAAGGATGCTCTTCGGGCCACAGTGTGAGACAAGACCCAGGCGGGGTGGGAGGAGCCTTGCACACTCACGCTCTCTCTTGCTCTCGCGGTGCTGCCAGGCATAGAAGTTGAGCAGCTCTTTGCGGGCCCTTTTCCGTTTCTCCTTCTCCAGCAGGCGCAGGTTGGCAGCCTCCGTGCGGGGCAGGCCGGGCTTGCGGCCCTTGCGGGTCACCTTCACCCAGCCCTCCTCATCCGGAACACCCTCCTCCTTAGCGGCTTTGGCCTCCTCCTGTAAGGACAGGAGTGTGAGGCAGCCCAGGGCAGATGCACAGCCTCATGCACAGCTCCCCACAGCCCTCCCTTAAACACAGGCAAAGTTACAGCTCCTGCTTCCATGCAAGATTTAAAGGAAGGCATGGGATCAGGGCTGCAGGCATTCAACTTGCAGTCAACACTGCACATCAATTAATTTGTGGGTATCTGTTGTAAGCCCTAGGGGAAGGGTCAGGTATCGCAGACCAAACCTGGGTGTGCCTGCCCACCAGCAACTGGGAGCAAAAAACCTCTGCCAAACAGAGAGACCCTCAGCCCTTTCCACTATGGCTGGAGCATTGAGAAATCTCTTCTTTCCCTCTGCCCCAAGAAAACTGCTTAGCTGGGTTCCCTCCCTAGCCTGGCCTCACCTCTGCCATCTTTTTATCATAGTCTTCCATGTAGGCATCCACCTCAGCCTTCAGCTCCTTCGGATCCACGATGGAGGCCTGGTAGCTGGCGATCCACTCTGAGACACAGAGGGCACAAGTCAGCAGCAGCTGCTGTTAGAAGCAGGCGAGTGTGCTGCTTTTGGGCAGCTCTAGAGCGAACTCTAGCATGGGGGAAGGACATACTGCTCCCATTTGTGTTCAGCTTCCCCCTGCCACAGCACACACTGACTTGGCTGCAGGCACAATCAATATGCCATGGGAAGAGTTTGCAACTTGCCCAGGCAGAAGTGGGCTAGCCTTAAGCCTAAGGGGCACATCATTCTGTGCTTCTGTCAAGAGATTATGTGTGAAGTGCTGTCAACTTGACAGGCATGCAGGGCCTGTTGCATGAGTCTGGTCTCCATTTTGAGGACAAGATGCAGACAGTATCTTTGAATCTATGCAATACTGAAAAAATGTCAGGAAAAAAGGACCCTTCCAAGTGTCCCCACTCTCCCACATCTAGTTCAGTAAGATTGCTTATCCTGTGAATAATGAAAGAACACATAACACTGAACATGCCTCAGCTTAGAACAAAATGAGACATGCAGGTAGAATTCAGCAAACAATGAGTATAGTTCTTCCCCACCATTAGCCCACAGAAAGATAGCCAGAGCTGACATACTGCTAATGCCAGTTTTCACAGGGTGGCTTTCTGTTGATATTAGCAAGGGACCTTCCTGTGATAGAGCCTTGGCTGCCTGGACAGCTGCTGGTTTCCTGAACACCACGTATGCTACTTGAAATCCCTAAAAGAAAAAAAAACACCCAGGTGAGTCAGACATATAAGCAAAATTGGTAATGGATCAGGAACTGCAGTACAAATAACTTAAAAATAAAATAAAAATCAAACCAAAACAGGGAGCAGGATAGCAAAAAAAAAAAAGTGTAAACTTAAGTAAGTAATCATGTCACCCCGTGCCCCATATGGTTTCCTGTGGAACCATTCAGTACTTGCCATCTTTTCCCACTGAAGCATCAGTACTCCTCTCCCCCACCCAAGCTTTACCTTTAGAGTTTTGTGATCGAAGAATTTGGACGCCAGTTTATCTTTTTTCTCTCCTGGCCCTGGCTTGTCACAGATGTCCACAGACTGCACATGCCCGCAGCGAGAGAACAGCCTAGACAACGAGTCCTTAACAGGGAGAGTAAGAGAAAACACGCGGCTCAGCAAAGCAGGAGCGGTGCCTCCCTCGAACAGCCGGCAGAGCTCTCCGGGCGGCTCGCCGGCCCCAGCCCGGGGCACACGCCGGCTCCCGGGCCCCCAAGCCCGGCCTCGGCCCCCAGCCGCCCCCACTCACCGGGCCGCAGTACGGGGGCACGTTCAGGACGAAGAGGGTGCGGCGAGGCGGGTGCGCGGTGTCGGCCCCTTCCCGCACCTGGTGCTCCTTCACCAGCAGGCAGTGGTGCGAGCGCTGCCGCTCCGCGAACTTCACCGCCAGCGCTGCGAGGGACGCACGGCTCTGAGGCGCTGCCCCTCACCGCGTATCCCGCCGCTCCCGTTCCCGGTGCCCCGCGCTGCCCCTCACCCGCGTATCCCGCCGCTCCCGCTGCCCCTCACCCGCCAGCCCCCCGGTGCCCCGCGCTGCCCCTCACCCGCGTATGTATCCCGTTCCCGGTGCCCTGCGCTGCCCCTCACCCGCGTATCCCGGTTCCCCGCGCTGCCCCTCGCCTGCGTATCCCGTTCCCGGGGCCCCGCGCTGCCCCTCGCCCGCGTATCCCGTTCCCGGTGCCCTGCGCTGCCCCTCACCCGCGTATCCCGGTTCCCGGGGCCCCGCGCTGTCCCTCACCCGTGTATCCCGCCGGCGCCGCTCCCGCCGCACGCCCCGTGGCGGCCGCCATCTTCTCTGCGCGCGGCGGCGCGGGGGCCGCCGGGAGCTGTAGTTCCCCCTGCACGGCGCGGCCCTGTTAATGGCGGCGGCAGGACTCGCCGCAGCCCCGGGCTTGAGTTTATGTTTTTGTATAAACAGTGTAAAACTCATGCACTGTCCGTAATCTGAGAGAGTTAAGTAAATCCTAAAGAGATGTAGAAACATTCCAAGGCAATTGCTTTTAAAGACTCTTGTTAATTACAAAAGAAAAAAAAAAACAACCTTTACAGATGAACTTGTAATGGAAGACAGAACCATTTTAAAAATACTGAAAGCTAATGTAGGAGGTGACAAAATATGACATGACATGGAGAATTGATCCAACCAAAGATCAAGTTAATGAACATTATCAGAAGGTACATGCAAAAGCCATGAAAATAGATCAAACTTGCACATTGTGGCATCACTTCAGAAGTCCTCACATTTTTGAAATAAAAGAAAGAAACCCAAAACAAAGGAAACACCATTACAAATTACCTAGCTACCACCTGTCCTGGCCAGCCATTTAACTCAATGTCTACATTAATGCACATTAATTCAGAGTGCAGGCAATTAGTACTTCATATGCAAGTCCATAATTTCTACCAGCCCAGAAGGAAAAAAACCCCACCAAAACAACACAAAAATATAACCATGTTGCATGATGATAAATGTAGACAGAAGGTGGTAGGTTCGAAATCATGATTAGCATGACAACTGCAGGATGTCCAGGAGAAACTGGAGAGCCAAGGTGAACGTGAACCACCTGAAAAGGACTGGGAATAACCTGGTAAGAACTGGGAATAAACAGTTCCTCTTGTTTCAGTGCCCAACAGAAGCAGCCATGCAATGGTGCATTAAGGAGCTGACCAAGACCAGAACACGACTGTACACCAAGACACTGCTGTAAGACGAGCCATGGAGTGGTGTTTGGACACCCACTTAATGCACAGATTTGTAAAAAATAAGAATATGCTGCCGTAGATCACAGAGCTATGGCACAGAGCAGACAGTCCTTCTTCCATGGAAGTACGTCAATGCCATCATAAACTCACAGATAACCTAAACATAAGGCAGAGTTTAACAGTAAGTTAAAATGCATCTTGCTACTTGGCTTTTCAAAAGGACACAAATCTATTAATCAAAAAAATCCTTGAGTCTCCCCGTTCTTTCCGACGAGGCAGGAGATGCACTCCCAATACATGTTTCACATTTACACAGCTTTCTGTCTAGCTGGTAATGAAAGTATCCCACTTCACCTGGAACAGGTACCCTGATCTCAGAGCTGTTTTTGCTATAAAATTACTTTTTAAATGACTAGGCTGCCACTAACAAAGGCTGTTTTTTTCTCTAAAAAGAGAATTGGAATTACAAGGACACAAATGGCTTCAATTTAGTAGCAGGAGTCAGCTGCTAATTTGCATGATCCAGACTAGAAAGTGGATGAGTAACAGCTCTCTCACCCATGAGCTCCTCTTGCTCTTCATCACCTTATCAGAAATGTCTGTGTTCACTTAGAAAGCGCGACTGACTCAACATTGGAACACCACCACTTATCTTTAGGTGCTTCGCAGCATCTAAAAAGGCTTGGAATCCACTCTCTGTATAACAAACGTTTATTCAGAAACAGGTAATACATTATCTTTTCCAACCCCTAATGTTTCCTCCCCCTCCCTCCCCCCCCTTTTGTTTTTATTAAAACACATGTATTTGGTGGGCAATCTAAAAAAGGAGAACAATAGCTGTCTTAGGTCCCCTCCTCTACAAACATCTGCTGTTCACATGAAGCACCCCACCAATCATGGTGTCACTGGCCTTCCAACCAAACAGAGTACTCCAGAAAAACAAGTCCTGCCAAGTCCTTATTATTTCCATGGCTAAAAGGGATACAGTGAGATTAAGGAATGGTCTGCAAAAGCTAGATAGAAGAAAGAGTTCATACAGAACAAGAAAGCAAAAGAAACATGGGGCTGTCCAAGAAACAGAATCTGGACTTCCAGGAGCTACTCTGCAGAGCTGAACAGAATGGATTAGTTTAGTCTCCCAGCTTGTAGGATCAAGTTCAAACCCCAGCCTGGTTCTGCAAGTTGCTCTCAGCTTTCCTCTCTTCCAATACAGTCTGAACAAACACAAACGAGTGGAGCTACTGGGACTTTCAACATCCAAGGTGCCAGTGCGGTACAAACAATGGGAAGTACTGGAAGTGCCACCTAGTGGCCTGTCACACACACTCGCTGGCCCACGCCACCTCCTCGCCGCCCTGCCCGGGACTTGACACTCCTCTCCGGTGTTCCTCACACAGTACTCCGGGACTTGACACTCCTCTCCGGTGTTCCTCACACAGTACTCCGGGACTTGACACTCCTCTCCGGTGTCCCTTACACAGTACTATCTGCCCGCTGCTCCTAAACCTCTCCCTGAAGCCACAGGCTGCAGCCACCATCCTCCAAATCCAGGCATGCCAGCAGCATAACCGCACAGCAGCCAAACAAATAGCATCTCTCAAAGAAACGAGCTCTCAGACACTAGACTTTGTGTGTATTAGGATCTGAAAAGGGTCTCAGGTCCCGCCTTTTTATAGGAGACTGTCTGAGTTAGAAGGCAAGAAAGAAACTCATGTCCGTGCATCAGCAGGAGGAGGCAATATAATCTAATGGGACTCAAAACAACGGGGTTTCTTCTAGCTCTGAACACGACTGGTTCTCAATTTTTCAGTCCAGAAAGAGGAGAGCAACTGAGCCTGACCCTCCAGAGCAAACATATTCCTTGTACAAATGCCAGAACAACCCTCCGGCACTAGCAGAGCTGAAGCACGCCTGCCCATGGCACAATGGCCGCTGCACTTGCACACATCCCTTCTGCCTGACGCCTCCCCTGGCACACTGCAGGCAGCTCTGCTTCTCCTCAACATCCCAGCTGCTGACAGCAAAGTGCCCAGCAGCCAGAAGGAAGAGTTATGTCACAAATGCACACAAGTCCTTTCTGGAGGGAACCCAACCTGCCTTTGTACCCAGTGCTGCAACTTCAGAAACAACGTGGTGCTCTTGCCTGTGGACAACCAAGGGGATGCACCCTTCAGTTAAAGGTCAGTCAGATGAAAACAGAAGGAGATCACCACTCCTTCCCTCAAAGTCTATGTGCACTTTTAATGGCCACTGGGGGCTTTGGAGTAAAGGATGGAGTTACATGGTATATGCTTGGTAATACATTACTGGCAGAAGGAGAAGGTTATTCTCTTGGGAAAAAAAATCATGGAAGAAAACTCCAACTATGAAAACAGAAAGTACACACACAAGAGGAAACACTATTGTACAGTAAGGTAGCGATCATAGAAAACAAAAAATTTCAGGACAGGCAAATGCAAATAACATCTGCACTCCTGCACTTTCCTCATCCCCCAGCTTATATGAGTTTTCCAGTCCACGGCTTGCTCCCCCCTCTCAGAGTTTAATTTTGAATTCTGTGGGCTGCACAGATGCAGAGACCCCTGAGGATTTGAAGAGTGCCTTCAAGATAGTTTCAGGGTCCACTTCAGCTGGGGGATTTGAGGAGGCGCTTGCACTTGACCGGCGTGGTTCCCCTTCCTTCTTCACTGAAGGGGTATCACTCAATCGGCTGGAGGATTAAAAAAAATGTTTAAAAAGGCAGTATTTAACCTCTCTTTATGAGAAATACATTTTAACACTGTGTCTGCATTTATTGTTATCAGTGTTTTCCTCTTACCAATATCAGAGATAAAGGTTTTAAATATGCTTTTCTCACAAGAAAATACCCTCATCTCAGATTATTTTTGAGCCTCAAGGCTGAGAACACTATGAAGTCAAGCAACATTGCACTCCACTCAACATACTGTGCCACAGAAGGAGAGACAAAGAAAATTCAAGGAACAACAATTCTCAAAATAGAACCTGCAAAAGCATTTGGACCTTTTCCCCACTGAAGGACACTTACAGCAATATAGGCTGGTCTGAGGTGATGACATTTCCATTCATATGAAGATTGCATTTCATTGGTTGACCTAAATAAAAACAAAACACAAAATTCATTCTATCAGAAGTGGAGTAAGGCAAGACCCTTGAAACATCTCAGTGCAACCAATAGAATTCGACATGCTGGGGAAACATGAGAAAAAACAGCTGATAAATCTTCTGTTGCAGAATCAAAGCAATAGAAGAGCCACTGAAACACTCCACCATATGAAGTATCATACTAATTAACAAGTTACACAGAAGTATGAAGCCCTTAGCAGGGACACAAGAGGACCTCCCATTCTTAGCTGTCTGTTCCTCATCTGACATCCATAACATGTCACTCATCTAAAGCAAGAAAAAGCACCTATTTCCAGCTAAAAATTAACAGTTCAACAATAATTTCAGTTTAACATGGTTAAAAAAAATAAAATTGCATTATTCAAAGTTTATGGATAATCTGATACTATTTTACAAGTCCAATTCAAAACGTTTCTGAGTACATCCTGAAACTATTGCAAATACTAGTTTTACTTGTACTTTGCAAGCAGCTCTACAAGCAGGTAAAGCCTTTGTAAGGATTTTCTGTGGAAGAGGTTTTACAGCGACTTCTGTGAGCCAGAGAGATGTTTGATAAGAGGATCCATGTTTATCCCTGAAAGAATTTTCTTCCAAGGTCGTTGACATAGAAACCAAGAAAGAAAGAAGGACAAATAAGAGAAATCTGCAACTGCCTGTTCCAATAAGCACTTTGTCTCTCATGACCAGTGAGTAAAGTGTGAACTTATGAGTTTTGTAAGAATGTGTAAAAATCATGCATATTATAATAAAAAACAGTTTGAAGCCTTCTGAAAATGGAGTGTGTTGCTTTGTGTTGTCTCCATCTCAACTACAACAACTTTCCAGCTCTTGGTACCAAATTAGAAACACAAGGAATTTCATCTGGAATTTAAACCAGGAGACTCATCAGGACCCTGCCTCCAGCTCTGAACCTCCTTTATAAAGGAAAATATGGGTGGGTTTTTTTATTGCATTTCAATAAACTATGCATATATTCAGCTAGTTACACAGCAATTATTATCTTATCTAGCTCTTGAACTGATTTTCTGATATTTCTCTCTTGCTAGCATATTAACATCTACGATACTTTTAAATCTTCCACTCAGGTGGAAAACTAATTCTTGATTTATTTATCCTACATGCAACTTTGGCATCAAACTTACCATCTAAACACCTGTTGTTGTATTTCTTATATGCTGTGATAGCATCTTCTTTCTTCACAAACACTACCTCAGCCACGCCAGGGTGCACCAGCCGGGCTCGCTTCAGAGCGCCACACACACAGAATAACTCCTGAGGGCAGAGAGTCAGCCATGACCACGGGCACACCAAAGGCACTGCATGGCAAGGCTTTACGTGCTTCATCACACCACCCATGCTGCTTATTAAATACCTGACAGATCTGGACACTTGTCTCACTGTGTTTGTTATGGTATAAGTACTTGGCACTAATAATAGAGAGTACATAAGCAGGGAAGTTCAGGGCCAGTACCCAGTAATGTTTTTCCCATGGGAATATCAGATTCATTCTCAGTCCAGTGAGAATAGAAGCCCCCAGATAATTTGGATGGGGGCATAAGTTTGGGTAGAAGAATCATTTGGCGTGAACTCTTCTTCTAAGTGATGCCAGGTATCTCAAAATACTCTGTGGGATTTTGTCCCATGTTCTTAAGCACACACTTTTAAAAAAAGTGTAAACAAACCCCAAACAATCAGGAACCCTCAAAGTTTTTGCACGAACATAAACCCACATCACACCCTTCTTCACTGCGTTCACCACAGCCAAGTGATTTATCAGAAGAGGTAGGACACAGAAAGGAAGTGTCACTCATGCACAGTCTGGCAGTAAGCAACACTCACAACAATATCTTCTTCTGTGACTCGAGGATGCAGATTATTTACGGTCATCTTTGTGCCTTCCAAAGGACTGAAAGCCAGCTGCCAACACAAACAAATGCATCACAGAGATATGGCTCACAATACAGCACAGCACAGAAAGCAATAAAAAGTCACTAAGGATATATCTGGGAATGTCTGTACACACACACATAAAGGAGAAAGCTACAGGTAGTAATGGTAAATATCACTGTTTACTAAAGCCCAGCTCATCTGACAGCAAAAAGGAGCTTCTTTACCATGCTAGTTTTTCTCTGAAGTAACTTTTCACTCTTATTCCCAAGAATAACATTAACTTAATCTGCATACACAGTACTCTGGTCATGCCCACACTTTTAATAGCCTGTCTCTGTTGTACTCTAGACCAGCCAGCAAACCCCTAAAATACAGCTCCAGGCTCTCAAGAGCATGCTGAACTCAGCACACCTAGGAACACCTGGTGGATTACTTGGTTCCAATATCAGGCAGTTTGGCAAAGCAATTCCAGGCAGGCTGTCTACAAATTGCCTGGGAGGTCTCATCTGTACATTTGGAAGAATTCTATTTTCTTCTTGCTAGCTGGAGTCAACATAGAACATATCAAATAGTGTTAAAACACTACTCCTAGGGACATGAAAGCCACCAAGGAGTGGCCAAACAATTGCCACCTCCCTGTAATATGGATTCCTCTAGGATCATGTGCAGGGAAAGGATTTTTAGACAGGTTTCAAATTCTTGGGCCATGGACTGCAGTTATCAGAATAACCTTGATGACATCCTGAACTAATGATGAAAGGCAGGCACAAATGAGCTGCTCACATGTCCAATGAACAAATTTCAGATGTTTCAGAGACTTCTCTAAAGAGCATTTTCCCCTCCCCTGAGCTCACCTCAACAGGTGCTGGCTCTTTTGGAGGCACTTCCTTTGTCACTAAGGTCCGGGACATGTTTGCCAAGGCCTTTGTCCGCACAGGAGGGGGAGTTGCAGGTGGAGCTGTGTATGTATCGTTCTGGACCACTTTAGTCAGGGGAACAGTCTTGGACAGAGAGAATTTATTGCTGCTCAGACCAGTCTACAGGAAGAAAAAAGAAAGTATCTCAGTGCTACAGCCTACAAAAGCCATCACCTTTCTACAGGCATCACCACCAGAGTGTTACTAGTATGCACTGCATATCCTTCCCAGTGTCAAAAACACTACAGTGCTGGAGACTTTCAAAAGGCTCAGAGAAAAAAATCAGTGCAAGTTTCTGGGCATAAACATAAAAAGTATGCTTATCCAGAAAGAGCACTTCCCTCATAAGCACTTTTTGGTTTCATATTTTTCATAAATGAACTTTAACAATGTGATCTGAATTTGAAAGGCTCCTTTCATCCACATACTTTCAAGTACTTTACAAAGAGTTCACAAAGATGGCTCATTAACAGTAAGATTGAGAATCCACAGAACAAAAAGCAGTAATTCCTCAGAATCACCAAGCTAGAGCACACAAAGACATGGAACTTAGGCTGAAATACCTGAGTTTAAAGCCAGACTCAAACTTGTGCTTGGAAGCTGCTGTGAACACTGAAAAGAACAAATTTACTCCTGATAAAAACCCTCATAAGATTATCTGAGAATCACAAATAGCCAGAAGCTGTATTCTGAATACCCACATGAGGAAATAAATTTCTGGGGTAATCACTGTACTACAGTGCCTGCACGATGGGTGAAACCACATGAATTTGCTTTTCCAAGACCAGAAAATAACTTAGCCCAAAACTGTGCCCACCTCCCATGTCTGAAGCAGGGCTAACTTCAAACACACATTAGGCTGGCAAGGGCCTATCCAGCTAAGCACTGAATATTCAAGAATGATGACTGCACAACCTCTCTTGGTCCCTGTGCCAGATGCTGATCAATACTCTGAGAATTTCACCAACCAGAATTTCTTTTGCTGCAGCACATTTATTTGTTTGTCTTCTCCATGGTCACTCTTGAAAAGTGTTGAGTTTTGCTGCCCTTTCCAGGCAGTGAGAGTGGACAGATCTCACTGTAGCCTTCTCAGCCCTGAGACACTGCTCTCTCACCCTCTCCTCATGCACAATATGGTGCAGCCCTCTGACCAGCCTGTTAACTGGTTCCAGTCATGTCTTTCTTGTATTGCAGAGCCCAAAGATAGGCACAGAATTCTGGATGATTCTCAAAATGTCAAACAGGAATAATTATCTTCCTTGATTAATTCTCTACAGTTGGCCTTTGTTTCTGGAAGGATGCACTGCTCACTCATTCTGAGTAGATCACACAGAAGGACCCCATGGCTCCTTCCTACAAAGCTGCTGCTGCCAGTCAGTTCTCAGTTTAAGCTGCAGAGGGCCATCCTATGCCAAAAGCAGGACCTTACATTTGTCTGTACTGAAATTCCATTTTCTTCAGAGCGACAGTCCTCCCCAACAAGATGCCTACTAAGATTTTTGCACAGCAAGAGATTTCCTGCTTTGATGCCCAGTCTCCAGAAGCAGCAGAAAGCTTCCCTTGCTGGTTTACTCAAACACTAACAAGACAGGTTCAATGCATTTCCTCAACAAGAAGAAAGAGCCAGGATACAGCAACCTGCCAGCAGGGCAGAAAGCACACATGGCTGCTGAGAACCCATAAAACCAGTTACCCTAAAAGAACTCTGTTCCAAAAATAACAGTAGAAGCATTGGCAAAAGGAAGGGTGGGGCGAAGAGCAAATATTTGAGGAGAAAACATCATTTACAGACTTTAAAAGAACTGATAGGGTAAGTCCTGTAAAGACACAGCCTCTGTGTCCCTGCAATGTGAGCATGGCATGGTGGGGACTGTTCAGATGACCCCTTACCGAGTTGTGCAGGAAACTGTTTGTGGTGGTGATTTTCATCTGTTTGCTAGGAAGGGGAGAGACACTTTCATCATCATCCTCTGTGTCATACAGACCCTGAAGTGAAGAAGAGAATAGTTTACATGCAGGTAGATTTCATTGAGACATTTCAAAAATAGCTAGTTTCTCCTGCTCTCAACCAACCTCAGTTAATGAACACAATTACACTGGATTTTAGTTTCAGGTATGTAAATCCATGTCAAAACATCAGTATAAAAACTATCAGACTTTCTTTCCAAAAACACCACTGGAAAACTGTTTCCATAGATGTACTGAAATCACATACAGATTCCTCTACTCTTGGACCTTATTAGGACTGTTGAAGCTACGTTATTAGAATAAAGCCTCAGTGTCTTACATTTTAGCACCCTCCTACCTTTACAGCTGAAACCTGTGCATGTGATTTTTAAATTAGTTTGGGGGTGTATGTTTTTTTGTTGTTGTTGTTTGGTTTTTTTTCCTTTTTTTGGGGTTTTTCTTTTTTTTTTTTTTATTTTTATTAAACAAGTGCCTGCTGAATACACCTAAACAGAACATTCCTTTTGAATAGCCTGCTTTCCTTAGCACAGGACATATCCATCTGGCCCTAGAAAACACTGCTCTAAGAGCTTTACTGAATGAATAATTAATTTTCAGTTCAACTTAACACCCATAGCCTTGCCTTGAAATACTGAGGTGAGCTCCTACAAAAGCATTTTTATTCATTGACTCTAAATAACATTAAGAAAAAGTCTAGACACATATAGCAGTGCCCAAAACATAAGAAATCATAATTGCAAACAGCTTCCAACTAATTCAGTAAAAAGGTAAAGAAAACTGGAGGGATTAGCAATGAGAGCTTGCAAAATCAGTGGGCTGTCCATAGTCAGCAAGATTCTGGTTTACAAGCAGGGAAGTTGTTCCAGTGACAGAAATGCCATGAAGGGAAAAAACCCCAAAATGGACAGAGAACAGAGGAGAATTGTGCAGAAAATAAAAGAGCTGGGAAAAACACTAGATATCAGGACAATGGACTTGAGTTTGAGACAAAATGAAATGGATTCCACGTGTACAGTGATAAGTTCAAAATAATGAAGACACTTCTTTAAACAACTGCATCTGGGATAGGTGAGGGCAGCAGGCCAGCATATAGGTAACACACAAAAATAGCTAAAATTGCTATAATCATGGCAAAAAAGTCACCTAACATGACATGGTGAATGTCAGTTTTCCACTGTTTCAAGCGATACTTTGTGTATACACACGAAATAACATAAGTAATAAAAATATCCAATTCCTCTCTGAAAGCACCTAAGGTAGTAAGGTGGCTGAACGGCTGGGGGCTGTGACAAAATCCATTAAAACTGATCCCAGAAAGACAATGCTCTAAGGTCTTTCTCAAAACCTGCTTGATAAGGGCTATGGGAACTCTGGAAGTACATCAGAATACTAGTTAACATCATTCCCTATCAGGATTCCAGCAGTGGCCCACAGCTGGGATTTCACAGGAAGGTTATACCCTCTCCCACCTCACTGCAGCACATCTGACCCTGTACACTCACATCTCTCTGAAGAGGCTGGCAGCATGGTGAATCAAAACAGCCAACAACTTGATCTGATGTGATGTCATAAGAAATTCATACAAAAATATCAGAGCTAGAGGTCAGCCCAATATACCATTAGCAAAATATATCATTAGCACACAGGTAACACTGGGAATATCTGCTTCTCATTCCTGTATCTCATTCAGAGAGTACAACAGGAATCAAGATAAATTATACTAAATGAAAACCTCAATTACCATGAAAGTATTTTAACCACACAAGACATGGAAGCTAAGTTGATGGAGAACTTTCAGATGTTTTTCTCTCCTACTGAAGAGTTTTTTTTTGTACCTGCCAAAGTTTATGGACACGTGTTCTTCCCTGTTAAAGGTAACAAAGAGCACAGAGCAGGTACACACCTGTTTATGTGTATGGTTGTTCACCACATTGATCCTCATTCCTGCTGGATGAGAGTGTCCAGGAACTGGAGCCTTCTGCTACAGTTGGAGACAAAGAACCAAAGCATGAAGCACTACAGTCCTTCAGGTTAAGTTCAGAAGATCAAAGCTTTAGTTGAATACCCTGAGATCATTTATATGAAACTTACCTTCCCTGCTGTGAAATGTATTATCACAATATGCTCCTAGGTAACACCTGTATTTCCTGTGATACGTTCAATATGAGAGAGCTTCACTTAAATTAAAATCTAAGACCACAGGAAGAAATGGATTCAAATTACTTAGGGTTTAGTCCAAGATTACTGGGAAGGGAAGTGAACTTCAGTCCTGTCAGGACTGACTAGATCTACATTTCTGGTAATACAAAACCATGAATGGGGTGAGTCAGAATGTGTCTCTTCTTTCATGCCACAGGTAACTAAACACAGGGATCTCCATCAAACAAAAGGAGAAGTATACACTGCCCCTTAGCACTAGAGCTGGAATAAGCTGTGGTGGAATACAATGGTGCACAGGGTAGTGTGCAGCCCACTACACCATGAAACAGGGAAACCACAACAGAAGGAGGTAGGGAATATAGCTGTACTAATTGATAACTGAAATCATGCCAGAACACCTGTAAAAATGCCCTTCTGTTTTTTGAAAAAGCTGGAATCTGTCTGTTAAAGAATAGCTCTTCTTACAAAAATAGTAATAACAGGTAATAAAATCTTCAGATTTGCATTTTCTCTAGACTGCAACTTATACCATAGCACCTCATGTTTCAATTTGCTAATCAAAGAAACAAGGATACCCATCCTACAGAAACAGCAGCAGACCTACTGTCATTTTTTGGTTTCAAAGATTTTTCCTTGCTTTATGATAAACAAGACCTCAGGACAGCACATTTAGAGCTGTGTTCTGTACCTTGGATCAAGATACACTAGTTTGATTCCACTTCCATGTTCAGGAAGAGGGTCATGGGCAATTTGGAATTTCAGTACAAATATTTTAAAATTTTTTAGATAATTGCTTATGTCAAGGTTCTGTCTACAGTCTGAATCACCATGGCACCCTAAGTATAAATATATATATGTTCCCTTGCACTAACAAACAGAAAATACTATTGGTCAAAAAAAGTCAAACAAAAAGCCCACAAAACACCAGGTCAGAACAAACAGCTACTGCACCAAGTCTCTGGAACCTATTTTAACTCCTAGTAACTCTGTAGAAGATGTTCAATTCCTCATGGCTCATGCTGGTGATTTGGCTTAGAAGGACATCAAGAGTACTAATCACCCTCCTAATTAACGGCTGCTGAACAGACTGCTCGGCCATTAGCCCTCCTTACTGCCTCAAGAGCCCTTTCTCCTTCTCACATCAGCCTGGCAGGAAACCTGCAGACTACTGGGAAACTTCCCAAGCCAATTTGCACAAGAAACATGTTTGATGTTTCTCTTCAGCAAAACCCGCAGCTGAACAGAAAGCAGACTCATCCAGGCTTTCAAACTGATGGCAATAGATTCCTGGGTATGAGCAAGCACACTGCTGATTTTTGGGAGGTTGAAAATGGAAAAGGTAGACTAGGAACTTCAGTTACATGCTTGTAGAGGTAAGGGGCAAAACCACTCAAACAACAATCCCAACAGTCTGGAAATTTCTCTCCTGACTCTACACATTGTACTGATAGGCACAGTTCAAGAGCAGTTGTTTCTCAGAGAAGCTGGCTAAGAATCAAGTTGCTATGCACACAGCAAAGTGAAATCAGAAAACTGGCCCAGGAAATCAGCAGGTCAGGGTGATCAACCGATTATAATATAATTGAAATAAATCTTGAGCCTCAGCAGGAATGCTTCATGTGATCAGGCAAATCCCTGGAAACCAGACAAGTATAAAAAGAGAAAATTGTAGAACAGCTCATTGAATTTTAAATTTTCTTAGATACAAACACAGCTGCATATTCTAAACTGTTATTCCACCACTAGGATAAACCAGTTATCTATACAGGACAATCCACTGCATCAGACTTGCAAAGAGGGGCAGTATAAGAATGACAAAAAATCTGCATCATTTTGCTTGCATTCAGGTAGGAAAGACACTACTTAACCATTCAAGACATCTTTAATGCTGACAGGAGCTCTGCCTTAGTCTTTTTGGGCCGAAAACTGAAGTGAAAATTTAAATGAGAGGTGTGATTCTACAAAAAGTCCCAAGCAGCTGCAAGGACACAGGAAAGGATCAGAATCCTACCCCACAGGCTGGAATTAACTGTATCATTGCTGCTTCTATTGTAACCATCTGAACATGCTAAAGTATTCTCATGCCTACTGAACTGCTGTAGAGTAACTGAGGGGCTCAGAGGTGACTCATTCACCTACTTGGATAGTTTTGGTGATTTTCATGGCTGGATTGACTGTCCCCATAGCCGGGCTGATAACAGCTGGAGTGCTCCTTTTTAAGCTGATCTTCTCTCTGGCATCCACCACTTTGGTCACCTTTTCAGCAGCAACACTTTGCTGCTTACGGGAATTCAACATCTCTCGAGCATCCTGCACCTTCCCTTTGATCCTGAAGCGAGCATCCTTTTGAACCAGTTTCTCTCGGGCATCTTTGACCCCCAGCTTGTGCCGGGCGTCGGTGAGTCCGATCTTCTGCCGGGCATCAAAAGTCTGCTGGAAGCTCACGGTTGGTGATGATCTATTCAGAAGATTTGGCTGGATCCCAATGCGAGATCTTACACCCCCAAACACTGGCCTGGTGTTAAGTCTGAGGGGGAAAAAAGAAAAAAAAAAAGGGAAAAAGTTTCAGGCATTATAAGATGTGTCGATACAGTGTCAATACAAGTATCTGTGCTGCTGCAAACAACAATTCATTATTACTGCATAGAAATCCACTCTGGTTGGACATCTAAATACAACAGTAGAACTCCTAAGCTCTTTTATGCTGGATTTTTTTTCTTTCTGCATAATCAGCTAAGGAACTGATTTCCAAAATCCATCCTTACATTTACAAACTAAAGGGTCTGACTTCAGCTGTGCAAAGTACATACTCTATTTAAACAAAATTCAACAACTCGGGTATTTTGGGGCAACCTTTGAAGACAAAGAGGAGCAGGAACACTTTCTAGCTTTAGGATGAACAGGTCTGCTAGAGCACCTCCTGTAATACAATAATACATCCTGATATGAAGGAAACATGCAACTACACATGATTTCAAGAATTCTGGGCAGCAAGTTCAGATTTGTGGGAGCACAGCAACTTGAATTTTAGTATGTACAAGCACCAGTAACAATCTCAATTCAAAGCCACCCGTTTCCAGGTTGATTAGCTTCCAGCAAGAATAGTCATTAGTCAAATTACTTTTTAACATGACTGCCTCTTCTTTAATCTACTAAAAGAACTACTGCACTTGATGGCCTTTACTTTTTAAGCATATAATTAACACACTACTGAGCACAGAAAGCCAACAGCCCACAAAAACTACAGCATTTGTACTTGTAGACAAGTATTCCTAAAAAGCAGCAGAATACAGGGTGAAAGCTAGAACGACCTTCTTATTACAGGTCTGATACACCTTTTCAAAGTGTGCCCTAAGAACAAAAACAGTTTATCTAATTTTTTAATGGAGTTCCTCTGATGAGTATTTGTAAAGTTTTTTTTTTCCCATTGGGTTTCTTTGTATCCGAAAAAAAAAAAAAAGAAAGTAGAAAGAGAGAAAAAAATATTCTTGCTGTTGACTTTTTAAAAAAGTCAAAATAGAGGGCTACAAAGTTCATCTGCTTTCAGAAATGTGTTGTTCAGTATTATAAAATCTAAAAGTAGGTACCTGGAATTTGTTTTCATAATCAAGTGGTATCACAAAATCAAGTTATGATGCTATTTCAATTCTTCATGCACCTTTATATTAGTATTTACTGATCTAACTCCACTACCTTCACATTATTTATAGTCAAGTATTTTCAATGGAGAGATCTTAAAAAAAAACAAAAAACAACAACCCAACCAACTGAGAGATGAAAGACTTAACCTCTGCTTCTGCCTCTTTCATTCCTGTGTCTAGAAAGCTGGGCCTGGAGTCCCATTTTATTCCTAGCTGAGAGTCCTATGGCTGCTCTCTCATACAGCCAAAGCAAACCAGCTAGAAGAACCAGGAGGATTATGAAGACCATCTATGAAAATATACCCAGAACACAGGAGACTAACAGTACCCATAAAGCAACAGACACAGCAAGACTTTCCTTGCAATTTTAAAAAGATTTATTTAGCCATGTTGAAAGCAGGCAGCTGGAGTGCTGCAAAGGGCTGGATGAGTGGTTCGTGACAAAGTAAAACCAGAAATGTATCAACATTTAAACTAGAATGAGTTAAGATTGTTGATGACAAAACCCAATGAAACAGAAAAAATTAAAAATAGAAAAAGAAAAAAATAGAAAAAATAAACTGTACTGAAGGTTACACCATTTTTGAAGAGTTCTCTTTACCTAGTAAGCAACTCTCTTTCACAGATAATTGCCTACCCTACAAGAGCATTAACTGCTTAGGTATTTGTGCCACAGCACCTGAAATAAAAACAGATCTCAAACATCTAATTCACTTTCCAGGATTCCAAGCCCTGGCTTGAATATGTTATGGATCAGTATATTTTATAAGTGAAAATTTTTCTTTTCTTTCATCTGGACTGCTGAATAACATGAATATAATGATTTAACTTTATTCAGTTTATCTAGACTTCACAAAGCCAAGTTTGCTACCTCAGCAATTTATAAAGTGAGCTAACACAACATACAAGAAGAGTGTGGGGCACAACAATTCTTACAGTGCTGCAGAGGGATTATTGTTCAGCAAAAAAAAAAAAAAAAGGCAGGAAGAATTCCTGAAAGAAGTGAAGAGTTAAGGGGGAATTTGAAAAGGGATAAAGGAGGTACTTAGAGCATAGTAAGCAGCCTAAGACTCTTCCAAATATGCAGGATAACATGAACGAAAGTGCAAAGCCAAGGCTTTGTCTAGACTAGGATTTAAATATGTTTGAATGTTTTGGTAGTATATGTGAGCAGGTAACTTTCAGAATATTCCTGTAGACATGTAAGTGTATACACATTCAGAGTCAAAAATAAGGGCTAATAAATTTAAAAAAAACAGAAGGGAAAAAGCCAACAAAGCAGGAGCACACTGAGCTAACAGAGATGGGGGACAAGTTCTTCAGAAGCATTAAGAGACCACGGCAAAAGGGAAAACGAAAAGCTACCGAAGGAGAATCCAGGTAAGAACTGCCAACTGTGGCAGCAAATGGCCCGGCCCACACTGGAGACATCTGCCATGCAAAGAAATAACCTGACCTTGCAGCTCCGATCTGCAACATGCTCCACGTCCTCTCGGCCGCCCCACACAACGGCTCGGAGCTGCGCTAGAGGGAGAGCCCCGCCGAGAGCCGGGCAGCGCTGCGGCCGCAGCCCCGGCAGCCTGGCCCGCGCGGCTGCCCGGCGGCCCCGGGCGGTTACGGTTCCCCCACGGCGCTCCCACAACGCCCCGAGCCGCGCCCGGGGGCACCGGGCAGCGCGGGCACCGCCGGGGTGACACCTGCAGCCCCCCGGCCGACCGGGCTCGGGCCGCCCGCCCCGTTACAGGCGGCAGCGCTGGGGTGATCGGCGGGGACAAGCAGGAGGCGGCGGGGACAGGGCAAGCCGGAGGGGTCAGTGAGACAAGGCACGGCGCCAGGAATCCCGGCAAGGCCGAGCGGGGACGGCCGGGGAGCGCCCGGCCCCACCGGGGCAGCGCCGGGCACGGGGGCCGACACGGGGCCCGACCCCCGCCCGGCCCTGAGTGACGGCCGCCGCCGCCAATCGCAAGGCAGCGCGGTCCCGCAGGCCCGCGGCTCGGCCAATGGGAGCGCGAGGGCGGGAGCAGGGCCGGGCCGCGCCGAGACAGCTGCGGCCCGCAGCCCCCGGAGCGGAGCCGCCCGCGGGGACACTCGAGGAGCGGCCGGGGGCCGCCGGCCCGAGGCGCTGCGTCGCCGGCCCGAGCACTCACCTCCCCTTCACCGTCACACCGCGTTTCCGTATGAGCTCGTCCAGAGACAGGTCCGCCATCTTGTCGCGGCCCCAACGATGAGACGCAGCGAGCGAGTCCCGGAGGTGACACAGTGCGACTTCCGCTCCTCGCCCCGCCCCCAGAAGTACGGCGGGCCCCGCCCGAGCTCCGCCCGCTGCGACGGGGCGACCCACAACTCCCCGCGGCCGCCGGGAGCCTCATTTGCATACGGCGCGGCACGTCCCGGCTCGGTTCGGCCCGTGGCAGCGGATCCGCGGCGCGGAAGGGGGACAAGGACCGAGCGCAGTGCTGGGGACACTGTAGGCTAGCTACAGGCCGCGTCGGCCGGTGCTCGCCCTGACCTCCGGAGTTAGCGCGGAGCAGTGTCAGGGCGGCGCGGCGAGCTGCCGGTCATGCCTTAAACTTATGAGTAAGGAAAATAACGACCCGGGGTGACGCCCGGGTCCTCACTCGCAATGTGAGAGGAATTTTTGCGCGGGTACAGGTCGCCCCTGGGTGCCCCGCTTACTTCGCGGGATGCCCGGGTGCCGTGATCTGCCCGACCCTCCGTGGCGCTGGTGCCAAGAACAGAGCGGCCGCCGCCGGGCTCCCCCCCGCGCTCGGGCCCGGCAGGCGGGACAGCGCGCACGGAAATCCCGGCCGGTCTGAGGAGCAGGAGTGCCTTCACTGCGCTTTGCTCTTTTTGCGCTGAAGTGCCCTAAGGGTCTTCACGAGGCTTAGAAAAAACACACCAACCCTGCCTAATAAACACTTCACGTGTCTGCAGGAAGCAATTCCTTTTCTGCTCTTCTGAGGGAGCAATTGTACTGTTTAAAATCCAGCCACGAGTGAAAGGGATTCTGAGCCTTGTGCGGCTCGGGCAGCGGTGGGCTGCGCGGGGCCTGCCCTGCCGTGACCGCGGCTCTGGGTCTCCCTCGAAACGCCTTTTGCAGCTCGTCCCGGCCACAGCTGGTGCGGAACGCGGCTTTGCTCCGCCCGCAGCTCTGCCGCGAGGTGCACCCGTGAGCCCTTTGCCTCTCCCCGCTGCTGCCCTTCCACGTCCTGAGCCGCAGTAACCCCGGCGCTTTGTGCGTGCTGCAGCGCCCTTCGTGTTGCTGTGCAGCTGGCGGCCCAGGCGCGTTCCCCGAGATCCAAGGGGAAGCTCCTGGGCTTCAGCAGTGCGAGAGCTGCCAGGGAGGGATAAATGCAGAGGAGACCTGTGCAGCAGATGTGGCTGCTCACAGCCACACAGGCTCAGGCTCCCGCAGCACTGATTTCCTCTCAGGAAGCCTTTGTGGGCCTAAAGTCGTTCCAGCGGTGATGCCAGATCTCTGCTTGGCTGTGCACTGGCGCTTGATCCAGCTCCAGGGTGGCACAGGACTGCAGTGCTGCAAATGAAGGAGCACAAACCACAGCCCTTTTTGTGCTGCCGTTCTGCAGCTGTTGAGGTACTTGATCAAACTGAGGCGATGGGATGTGTCATAGTTGTTCTGCTGTTGCAAAACCAACAGGCAATGTTTGTTTGAGCAAATTCATTTAAGAGCAGCCCAAGTGGTTCCAGACTAGAGGGCCACTTCTCCAATATCCCATTTCCAGCCTGCAGGGAGTCCTTTGGAGGTGGCTTCCAGACACCCCACCAACCTTAGTGCTGTTTGTGCAGCCACCATTCCTTCAGGCAGCACCTCCACTCTCTGCTTCCTCTGCATCCTCCTGTTTGTTTTGCTTCCATCAGCCCAGTTCTTGCAACTGAAGAGTGCATGTGTAGCTGCCACCCACCCTCTCTTCCACCTGTGATCCCTTTTGTCCAGGCAGAGAATTCCAGGCCTGCTCAGACATTCCTACAGTGAAGCTCCCTTCCCTCTGCAGGCTTCCCCCTTCCCATGTTAAGTCTCTGTGGGAGGCTGATTAGGGGGCATGAGTCATGCTGTTGTGGGAAAGGAAGGGTTTAAACGTCAAGATCTTCCTCTGTCTTCCTCTTTCTGACTGTTTTTCCCTTCCTGTTAGACACAAGCTGTAGCTCAGCTTTCACAGGTTCTTCATGGTTTCTTTGAGCTGTGGATGAGAAGTTCAAATATTTGTTCCAGGAAGGGCCTGGGCCCCTGCTTCCCTCCTTGTGGCTGGGAGAGGGGTAAATGTGTTGTCAGCAGCAAAGAGATCTCCCTGCGTGTAGGGGTCTCTACAAAGGGCTCCTTGTCCCAGTGTGCTGGAAAACTTTCAGGCCTGCCCTTGTTTTCCAGAGGCAGATTCCCTAAGTGTGTCTCCTCCATCTGCTGGGATCCCCCCAACATGGAAGTCAGACCAGAGGAGACCATCTCACACCAATTCCCTGTTAAAATATTAGGAAATTATGCAAAGGACATCAGGACATCATATTAGCCTTGGAATGGTATGGGGTACAGCATCTGATGTAAATATTGTCTCACCCTCAAACATCAAGGACTGGAAAGAGAAATTGTGTTGGATCATGGGCTGGATGTTGTCCTTTGCAGCAGGAGATGTGAGATTCAGGTAGTAGGGGAATTTCATGCACAGAGACACTGCACAGTAGCAATCAGTGGATCTTTTTGTTGCTAGTGGAGGAAGTACTGTAGCGAGAGATTAAAAATCCTCTGATTTTAGCAGTTTGTTCTCTCTTTCAGGACTGCTGAACCCTAGGCCTTTTAGCCTTCTGAAGACTTTTAAATCAGTCTTTGGAATATAAGGCCTTGTAAGATGGGTACTTTAGCCCAACAAAAATGATGTTAAGGAGAGAAAAATCAAAGGAGAGGACACACCTGAGGAGATGCAGAAGTGATGAGCTTCAGAGACAAAACTGATGCGCAGCATGGGATCCAGACAGACTCAGGGAAATACCAAAAAAAATAGGCTAAAAATTTTCTGAACAGGTAACAAAGAGAGCATGGAAGCTTGCCATATGTGTGGTATTATACCTGTATCATCACATGGCATTTGGCTCAGGGTCCTGCTGAAACTTCTGCTTGCCTGCACTGGACAACTTCCCTTTCATTTACCTTCTACGGCCTGGAAAAATTAAATATTATTGCACTGCTCATCTGAGTCTACAACATTTAAAAAGGCATGAAAAACTGACTATGGTAGTTCTTTCTTTTTGTGGAAATTGTAGGAAATATGGTACATATGTAATTTTACTTCACTTGTTCTATTTCATAATAGATATTTCCAATAAAGGTCTTTTTACAGTCAGTTTCTCAGAATACTCTGGTTTTCTAAAAGCCAATTTTCTTGCACACACCTGGGTCCCAGCTCATGTCAGTGACCTGCAATATGCTTAGGGAATACTAAATTCCTGAGAGAAGCAGAGCAATTTGCTTGCAGAGAGCTGCACAGAAATTTGCCTTTCTTTCTGGGGGCCCATTGAGAAAATCCCAGAGAGTTTTTGTAGCCAAGGAAACGGATGGATTAGAAAGAAAAACTGAAGAAAAGGACTTGGCAGGTGTTGAGTTATGAGTGGGTCTTGGGTCTTCACAGAGATAGGAGTAGTTGTTGGTTGTTGTACAGTTGTTTATTATATGAATACATCAGTATTGAAGGTGAAGAGTTTAGAGTATTAAAGTTTGTGCTAAAAGCTTTCTGGTATAGTCTTGATGTTCTGAGTAGAAGCAGTAGAAGTAGTAGTAGTTAGTAGAAGCAATTAGCACCTTTTTTGTACCCCAATATAGGGGAAATTTATTCATAAATAATCGAATCAGCTAAAACATGATTCTAAAACATTCTTTCTACACTTATCTAGGCTTAATTCTAATGTGTGAAAGTAGTGTTAGTTTTTACACAAAATCTACACATAGTTCTGTCTGTTCACACAAATAGTTCTATCTGTTCTATTTAGAAATATAAGCAATGTTCTGCTATGTTTTTGTTATGTCTGGAGCTAAGTTGATTTTGTGAAAGGTAACAATACTGAACTTTAAGCTAGGCTTTAGGGTTTTTTACTAGCTAATACAGTTTCTTAAGGCACTGAAGATATATTTCTATTTACTTAAAACTAAAACTTACACTCCTACTTGATGTCTGTGTAGTTTAATATATTTTAGTTTCTCTAAAGGTTCCAGTTCAATCCCTGTATTCCTTTCTCTCTCTGAGGGACTCAGAGAGGCTTCTATTCCATGCATCCTAACAGGTGGCATACAGCAGAATTTGAAGTCTTTTTTTATTCGGTAATTCTCAGGTTGCTTACAGAATATTGTGTCACACCAAATCACATAAACATGCATTTGCCTCCTTGCATCCCCAGTATGCCATGGAGTACAACTTTTAGAGTTCTTTGGTCCAGAGCTGTGGCACTTGTGTAGCTGAAGGACGTTGGGACAGGTAAATTGCACAGATGTGGGAAAGCAGAGGAGTGCTAACAGGCAGGTGGCTTTTGTGAAGAGACAATTGGAATAGCTTCAATTTTTAATACAGGTTTGTTAATGATGATTTATCCTATGTGTCCCAAGTGGGGGATGTCTAACTTATTAGCTCTGAAAAGTAGATAATTCATGGGAGAAAGAAAAGCAGAGTATTACATAACAGCTGTTCCATCTTCTTCTGGCTAAGTAAGTAATTAATAGCCCAGCTCTCAAGTCATTCTCCTTTGATCCCAGACAACACCTTTCACAATAATTTCTTCCCCACATTTCATTATGGGCCACAGAAGTGATACTTTTTTCCAGTGCATTACATCTTTCTTGTCCACATGCTCTACATGCCTTCTGTTCATCCTCCACTCAGCTTTAACTGGTGGGTCCTGAAGAAGCAGCAAACAATAAATTTGGCAGCACTGCAGCAGGAACTGTGTTTCACTTTCAGTTCTTATGTGAACGTCAGCTTCCTGAAAATCAAATGAAAACAGTTTTCAAAGCTTTGTACTATTACGCTGATGTATTGTTATGTTGCCTCCCCGCTCTCATTCTGTGCAGCTGCTCCACAGGAACTAAGCACTCACGAACTTCACTTGTCAAAGCTGCTGGTACTGTTTGAGTGGGACATGCAGGGGTCCCAGGGTCACTTTAAAAGTTCTTTTATTCACTAAGTCCTGACTCCTGGATTGTGCCAGTGTCCAGCACTGTGGTAGCAGGTGGTGTCCTGACCGGAGAGCGATTGGCATCTGACTCCATGATGCAGAAGGCTTGAAAGACTCTTTATTATCTAGTGTAGT